ATGCAAGAAACATGTCCAAACATGATAAAAGCAATATTCAGCAAGCCATCTGACAACATCAAATTAAATGGAAAAAAAAAAACTTAACCAAGACCACTGAAATCACAAACAAGACAACATTGTCTAATCTCTCTATTTCTATTCAATAATGTTCTTGAGGTACTAGCTAGGGTAATAAGAAAACAAAGGAAGATACAAATCAGAAAAGAAGAAGTCAAACTCTCACTATTTGCTGATGATATGATAGTTTACATAAGTGACCTCAAAAATTCTACCAAGGAACTTCTACACCTGACAAACACTGTCAGTAATATAGCAGGATACAAGATTAACTAAAAAAAAATTAGTAGCCCTGCTATACACAGATGATGAATGGGCTGAGAAAGAAATCAGAGAATATCACCCTTCACAATAACCACAAATAGCATAAAATATGTCGGAGTAACTAAACAAGCAAGTGGAAGGACTGTATGACAAAATCTTTAAGTCTTTGCAGAAAGAAATTGGAGAACACCAGAAAATTGAAAGATCTCCCATGCTCTTGGGTAGGTAGAATTAACATAGTAAAAATAGCAATCTTACCAAAAGCAATCTCCAGATTAGGTGCACTTCTCATTAAAATCACAGTAAAATTCTTCACTGTCCTCGAAAGAATGATACTCAACTTCATATGAAAAATTAAAAATCCAAGATAGCCAAAACAATACTGTACAATAATGAAACTTCTGGAGACAACACAATCCAAGACTTTAAATCTACTACAGACCTACAGTACTGAAAACAAACTTGCATTGGAATTTAACAGACAGAAAAATCAATGGAACTGAATCAAATACCCAAATATTTATCCACACACCTAAGAACACCTGAATTTTAACAAAGAAGCAAAAAATATAGACTAGAAAAAAGAAAGCATATTTAACAAATGATGATGACATAACTGGATATTAACATGTAGAAAAAAATTGAATCAAAGACTTCAACAAAAAGGCAGTCACACTGAACCTCATAGAAGAGAAAGTGGAAAGAACACTTGAATGCATTGGGACAGGAGACCACTTCCTAAATATAACCCCAGTAGCATTGACAATGACAGAAACAATAAATGGGACCCCTGAAACTAAAAAGCTTCTGTAAAGCAAAGATACAGTCAACAAGACAAAACAGCAGCCTGCAGAATGGTAAAAATTCTTCACCAACCCCACATCAGACAGAGGACTGATTTTCAAAATATACAAAGAACAGAAAAAAAATGTTTATCAAAAGAACAAATAATCCAATAAAAATGGAGTACATCCCTAAACAAAGAACTCGTAACAGAGGAATCTAAATGGCTGAGAGACACTTAAGGAAATATTCATCATCCTTAGCCATCAGAGAAATACAAATCAAAACAACTCTGAGATTCCATCATACACCTGTAAGAATGGCCAAGATCAAAACATTGATGACAACTTATGCTGGAGAGGATGTTGGGTAAAGGGAACATTACTGCATTGCTGGTGGGAGTTCAAATTAGCACAATCCCTTTGGATATCAGTATGGTGGTCTCTCAGAAAATTAGGAAACAAATTTCCTAAAAACCTAGCAATACCAGTTTTAGGTATCTACCGAAAGGATGCTCAATTGTACCACAATGACATATGCATTGTTTGTCATAGCCAGAACCTGGAAAGAACCTAAATGCCAAAGAATGAATTAGGAAAATGTAGTACATTTACACAATGAAGTACTACACATAGAAAAAAATGTACTACACAGCATCAAAAAATAATGACATCTTGAAATTTGCCGGCAAATGGATGGAGATAGAAAACATCATACTGAGATCCAGAAAGACAATTATCATATGTACTCACTCATAAGTGGCTTTTAGACATAAGGCAAAGAAAACCAGCCTACAATTAACAATTCCAGAAATTCTAGACAACAATGAAGACCCTAAGAGAGATATACATGGATCCAATCTACATGGCAAGTAGAAAATGACATCTCCTAAAAAAATGGTAGCATGGAGATGGTTGAAGGAGTGGGGACAGGAAAGGAAAAGAACAGAGAAAAATGTCTAGCTCAATAAAATCAATACTAAAAAAGATTTAAAACTAAGTTATTCTGTATGAATATTGTGTAACTCTAGTTACTGAAAAGTCTAGAGCAGTAAATTGGTGTCCATGAAGGCAGAGGTCAGGTTCTCTTCTAGTCCTACTCACAAGATATTTTTGCTATCTTAAACTAGAATGGCAATGGTAAACGGGAATGGAGGTGTTATGCTTTTTTTGTGTTTATCTGTGCAATATTCTTCATACTATATTATGATTCCTCCTCAATTACCTATAATTCTATATACTTATGTCTTCTTTTTACTTATTCTTTGACCTTTACATTATACATCTTGATACCATTCATTTTCTGTTTCTGCATATCTGCCCTATGCTTTTGCAGCCTGCACCCCTCTCCACAGTAGATAAAATTTAACAGAAAGAAAAGGAAAACAAATAAAGAGAAGGTGAAAATATTTTTTCATGGAAGCTGTACTATGACATAGTGAGTCATGAAGTAAAAATTTTTGTCCATATATCTTTACCTGCAAGTGTTCATTGCAAAGAGTCATTGTTCTGGTTTATATTTCTTTTTAATATAGAGTTATGGAGTCTTTCTTTCTTTCTTTCTTTTTTTCTTTCTTTCTTTCTTTCCATTCTGAGTTTCAGACTCAAAAGCCATTTCTTTCTCTGTATCATGTATTTGTATCATTATTCACTAGGGAAAAAGATAAAATTGGAAAATTGTTTTCTGATTAATGATCATGTCTTATTCAAAAAATTTTGATTAATTTTGAATGAAAAAATGTCCAGGGACCACCAATTATTAAATGTCCCTACTTTCCTTTGCTGGAAAAAAACAACACAGTCCAGTAGCTTATAAAAAATAGAATCTCAATTCCATTGAGATTTTATTTGTCAAAATATTGGTTTTAATTCAGAAAAAGATTAACCAGTTGGGATGCATCATTTGCTTCCTTTTCCCTAGAAAGTTTTCTCCATGAGAGTTGGAAATCCTTGGAGATTATGTGATCATGTTATTTGGTGTTGACATATATAATTCTAAGATACTTCTTCAGCAGATAGGAACAAGAATTGCTCAGGTGATTGCAAAAGGTGAGACTGTTGTCAACTTTAGACCTGAAGAAGTTCTAAGGGCTGTTAACCTAATATTACATCAACATCATAATTAGTTCTGAGACTAAGTACAGGGCCCTGGTTCCTCAGCAGTGATAACTGAGCAAAGCTGAGCACATCAGTATTACAGATTTTGAGGGTGGGAAATAAAATTTATGCTAAAACTGTTGCAGAAAAAGAGAGTGATTCATGAGTTGAGAGGAATCAGTTAAAACCTGTACTATACTATTAACTAGATTCATTTATTCAGTTATCTACGGAGTAATTTTTATTATTTAGTAAGAAGGTTCAGTCAGTTCAATTTTAATGAAGATTTAAGAGTAAATAAATATTTGCCAAAAAATTGGGTATACAAATTGGAATAGTCTGTCTACATCACTGCCTGAACACATTTTATGCTCAGGAATAAATTCCTAATTTCTTAATTTCAAGTAATATTAATGTACTTAAATATCTTAGATATTATACACTAAATGAAGCTCTATCCATTTACAACGCTTAGCATATAATAAAGTCCCAAGAAATCACCACGTTACTTTAGAAAACATACATTTTGAATTAATTTTGTTCTATTATTGAACCTTTTTAGGAGGACATATATTATTGTTTTCACCACACATTTGGCATGCATCTGTGTATAACAGTGTTTCCAAATTTTTGAACACATAGACAGTGGCATTAAAATTATAGCATAATGGCATGAGTAGAAGAGGGTCATGGTTTCAAATAGGAACCGCTAGGTGTATTTTTTATTTACTTTTTTATTTATTAATTAAAAATTTCCACCTCTTCCCTGCCAACCTTTTCCTTCCCCCTTCCCCTTCCCACCTCCCCCTACTCCTCTAGTCCTATGAGCATTCAGGGTTCCGTGCCCCATGGGAAGTCCAAGGTCCTCTCCACTCCATCCAGGTCTATAAAGGTAAGCATCCAAAGAAACCAGGCTCCCACAAAGTCAGTTCATGCAGTAGAATCAAGACCCAGTGTCGTTGTCCTTGGCTTCTCAGTCAGCCTTCATTGCCAGCCACATTCAGAGTGTCCTGTTTGTTCACAGGAGAATGAGGACTAAACTCTGTACCTCAGAACATGCTGAATATTTCTTGCTGTTCTAATTGCATGCCTTTGAACTAGAATGTTTATTGCTTTTCTTATTTGAATGTTTTTATCTCACTTTAATCACTGCTTATGTATAACTGATGTTTCAGATGTTCATTTCCTTATGCATCATTTCAGGGATGCATGAACTTGTAAGAATTTATGTTTTGGTATTTTCATATGGTTTACAACAAATCATTTATCATGCACATGGAGAAATATTTTCTGCCCTATAGTTTATATATCCCAACTTAAGTTTTTAAATTTTTACAAATTTTGTTTGTCTGTGGATACATTTCCCTGGTTATTTTTATCTTTGAAGTAACTTTGAAGGCATGCTGGCCACAGGAAGTGCACCTTGCTCTGGGAAATGTGAGATAATTGGCTCAAGTTTAACTCTAAAAGGAAAAAGTTTCATAGTGTTAGAATCCATAAAACCCTCTTAATCTGTGATCCTGTTATAATGACAGTAAATCAGGTAATTAAGTTCAATGATGAAATTATACTTTTTATTCTGATTAGCTTTGGTTTGGTAACTAATTTGAAACAAGCAATCTTAAGTTTAACGTGCTTTGTATTTTCAATTTGTCCTGATGATCACTGGGGACCGTAAGTTGTTTTCTAAGCAAAAAAAATTTTTTAGAGAACCCTATTGTATCTATAGACATTTGAATAATTATATAGTAAAATATTTTATGAAAGATGAAAGTCTATTTGAATATGAGCATCATGTTTATTAACTCAGTAGAGGTGATGCATTTTCTAATTTTATGGTTGGGAATTAGCTCAAATTTTTGCTTATTGTGTAGCAATTCTATGAGTGTTGGTAGATTTCTGTACTTAGCCTAAGCCCATCAGGCTGCAGTGTTAATCAATTAAGTTACAAATTTTATTGCTTTTAACTGCAATCTTTATTTTGTCTGAAAAATTTATCACGTATTTGGAGCCCAATTGCACTAAATATAGCACTCCAGATTTAGAGTCTGAGTTCTTTTAATCAGATGGATGTCATTTTACTTCTTACTGTGGCAATGACCTGAGATCATGATCATTTCCTTAGTACTTCAGAAATATTTAGATGGAAATGTAGAATGAGAGAGAGTTGGGACAAGAACAAAATAGATGGAGGAGAAAAATGCTAGAAATTGTCTTTGAAGCATAAAATTAGACTGATTTTACTTATTTTAATGCCTGCCAACTACAATATAACATAACTTTAAATTATAAAGACAAGAGATGACATAATGGCACTGGCTTAATTGATGTAATGTATTAATTTTGTAGCTGAGTCTAGAATAAGGAAAGTTGATATAATACTAATATTCAATAAATCCTGAAATAGAATAGAAAGGAATTATTTACAACTGTGGATGCTACCTTGACAAAAGTTAAAAATAAAATTGAAGCTGTTCTGAGGAGATTCAGCTTTCTCTTGGGAACTAAGTCTAAGACTATAAAAAAGGCCAACAAGGTTTATTCTTTCATATACATGTTTAAACTTTTGCATTGATTAATTTTATTATTATTGGAATTATTTAAGCTAACTTTGATGGATAATAACATTGGAAATTAAATTAATTCACATTTCATATTCATAGTAGTTTTACATCTGATTGAAAAGCTACTACATACATTATGGCACTACTGGACATACGAGTTGACTCAGAGGATAAACACACTTGCACACAATGCTGACGACCTGCATTCAATCCTCACAGTCTCCATGGTTGATGGAGAGAAGCTTTCCAAAGTAATTTTGTGGCCTTCACATGTGCCATGACATACAACAATGCAGATGCATATCATTTAAACATAATAATAATAATAATAATAATAATAATACTTGCAAATGGTGAATATGAATGTTACATGCAGAGAGATTCAAGAAGAAAGTTTTGTGCTATACATTACATACATCCAGAGTTTCCAGATTCTCTTATTGTTTCTTTTAAGGCACACATATTTTAACATAACTTTTTAACTTAACTTTTCCTGTCAATTCTAAAATGATTCAAAGTAGATAAAAGTTGCCTAAGTACAACATTGGTGTCTTAAAAGCTGTTGCTTTTATATCTGAAATCCACATTGGACTGTGAAAAACATCTGCATAACTCTGTGAGCCTTCTTTTTTTTAACTATGTTGAGTATTAAAATATTTCTAGGATGAATTCTACAATTCTCAGAATATTCTTTAAGTTCTTACAGGACTGTGTAAAATATCTAGAGTATAAGAATGTTTCATGCTTTATTTGAATTTTATTGAATTTAGATATTTTGTGCTAACTTTTTCATAATTTATTCTATTCTATTGTTTTTGTAAATTTTAAAAATTAAATTGAAATGTGTTTTAATATAAGGACATGTGTTAATAAAATCAAACTAAAGAGTTAATTGGCACACAAAGACTAGTAACTACAAAGCTCTTGGTGATGAATTTATCTAAAACAAAACATGCTTCAAACTGTATATTAGCAAATAGAAAATACATCATAGCATAGTGAGAAAAGATGTGACTCAACTTTTAATATTTAAAGTATAAAATGTCATCAGAATTTTTGTGTAGGCATTACAGTTCTTTGCTCAATAGATAATATAACAGCAGCAAAAAGTCATTGTGTACCTTGAATATCGATACAAAATAATTAGAAAGTAAACAACTGAAATATTCATAAGCAAATGTAGTGTATTTATGGGCAGCAAGATCAATAGGTTCTTAGTCCAAAAATATTGTCAGATCCGAGTTTTATTTTGTTGAGCAGAAAATTGCTCAATATTTCTATATGTTCATGCCACTAATTTACTAATGAGAATGTCTTGCCATTCCACATGTTATTATAGATAAAAAGATGCCCAGCTAGATAAGATTTTTGAGCATTTTCTCAATGTAATTTCTTACATTGTGAAAGGTATCCAATAAGGATGACACTTATAGGCAAGTACCATTATGAAATCTCGATGTTCTTTGACCAAGTACAGGGTACCTTCAGTAAAAAAGTCACATTCCAATGAGATCTGGAAAGACCAATAACTTTGAGAAGAGCCTGCAATTTCTTCAGGAGTTGGTGAGATCACACCAGCCAACAGCTCCAAATGGGGAAACCCATTTACCCAAGGTTGTCGATGAATCCAAGAAAACAACGTTCTTAAGACACAAAAGGACAAATGTACTCATGAACTCACAGTGATAGCCTATGTCTAAGTTCTATGCCTAAATCCTGTGGAAGCTCAGTAGGGATGAAATCTCTACATAGAGAGAGAAGGTGGACAGGAAGTTCCTCCTCTAACTGAAAAGTTACTGACTTTTAATTACTGCTGAAAGAGGAAGACTAATTTTCATTAAGAATGATATCCCTGGTAAGTTAAGCATATTCTTGTGGAAGGCTCCATATTTAACAGTCCACGGGCATCACAAACTGGGCATTATGGGTATATAAAGAAGACACAAAGAAGGTTCGAACTGGAGGATTTCAGTGAAAGACTGAATATGATCAAAAGTCATTGTAGGGTATTATCAAAGTACAAATTAAAAGGAAAATTTATAATAAACTAACCAAATATACTTAGTAAGACATTCACCGCAATTCAATACTATATAATTTTGGATTAGTTTCAATAAAAATGTTAAAACCACAATGCATTTCAACATAAGAAAACTTTAGAGAAAGCATAAAATTTGTAAAGTTACCACATCTTTGAAATGATGAACAACTACTGAAGTATTTTAATTGAGATATTATAATAAATTTGATGTTTTATTTCTTGTGAGCCATATTAAATAGTTTCATGGTATATTTTTAGCAAATTAAAATGCTAAAATGAATTAAATTTGGAGCACTGACAGTATCTTTGCTTAAAACCTTACGCTGATACATGGGAATTAGTAGGCAAAAGGATTATGAGTTCTAGGTCAATCTGGGATATAGAGTGAGCCATTGTCTTATATAAACAATAATATCTATAGAATAGAAAAATATTCAAGAAAATATCATGAAATAAATAATTTGGCATGGTAAAGAAAATACAAAATTGTAACATGGAAAATCAGTATAGAAATGTAAGCTTAATTATTCATTAATAAAATTGACCAAATTCTGGAATGTAAAATATGACAAAAATTCATACTTTATTTATATAATATAGAGGTTTACATAAGGTGAGAGCCCCCTAATTTTCTCAGGATTCAGAAGGACCACTATAGCAAGCAAAAAATGACTAAAGATGTCTCAGTTTGAAAGAAATAAGTCAGCTCATACATATCTTCTCATCATTTATTCTCTCTATGTTCTTCCCAATGCTCTTTTGAAGTTCTCTCAATGATCTCTCTTTTCCACAAAATTTTCTGTTTATATATCTGTACAGGCACAGTTAACAATTCTTTGGCAAATAACGATAATACCAAACATGCATTTATTACGGACAAGACAGATTAGAGTGAGAAAACTGGCTATAGGGTGGAAGCCTGTGATGCACCCAGGCATATCTAAAAAACGGGGTAAATAGAGGAATGGCTATTTCTAAGAAGAGAGGGAATTTTTTATCATTTTATATAGTTGCAAATGTGTTGATATTTCACAGATACTTAGTAATGATACAAAAGGTCCTGTGCACAATTATATCCAATACCTACATTTATCCACTCTTAATTTGAGTTTGGCTAGTTTATTTCACCACATATAAAATAATTTGTAATAAAAATAGGTACCATTTCTAAGACATGACAAATACTTGAAACACTCTATAACAGGTGCTAGTACAGTTTGCAAGTGGTAGGAAATGGGTATTAGTACACATAATTCTTATGATAAAGTCAGAAGAATGCAATCATTTGATTGATTATTTCTTTGCATACTTCCTTTTTCCAGGGCTGTAAAATTCTGACTTCTTAGATTGAAAAGAGGATGCCAGCTGACTGGAGATCCTGACAATATTTGAATTATGTTTCAAAGTTCACTTAGTGATAGGAGAATCAATACTCAAATTTTTCTTCTATATAAAATTTCCTTCTTACATAGAGTTTCCAGAAGAGAATGGAAGAAGTGAATCAAACCACAGTGACTGAATTCAGCCTTGATGGGTTAACAAAGAATCCAGAACTCCAATTACCTCTATTCCTCATCTTTCTAGGAGTCTATTTGGTTACAGTTGTGGGAAATCTAGGCATGATCATCTTGATTAAGTTTAGTTCTCAGCTTCACACACCCATGTATTATTTACTCAGCAGTCTGTCCTTTATTGACTGCTGTCAGTCCACTGTCATTACTCCCAAAATGCTGGTGAACTTTGTGACAGAGAAGGATGTCATCTCCTACCCAGAATGCATGGCTCAGTTCTACTTTTTTGGTGCTTTTGCTACTGCAGAATGTCACATGTTGGCTGTAATGGCATATGACCGCTATGTGGCTATCTCTAACCCTTTGCTTTACAGTGTAACCATGTCCTATCAAGTCTGTTTGTGGATGGTTGCTGGGGTATATGCTATTGGATTTCTTAGTGCCATGGTTCCTGCTTTCTTCATGATGAGATTGCTTTTCTGTAAGGCTAATATAATAAAGCATTACTTCTGTGATCTTTTCCCATTACTGGAACTCTCTTGTTCTAGTACTTTTATCAATGAAGTACTAATACTGTCCCTTGGTTCATTTGATATTCTTATACCAGCTATGACCATTCTTAGCTCTTACATATTCATCATTGTCAGCATCCTCCATATTCAATCCACTGTGGGAAGATTTAAGGCCTTTAGCACCTGCGGCTCCCACATCTTGGCTGTTGCTCTCTTTTTTGGTTCTACAGCGTTCATGTATCTTCAGCCATCATCAGTCAGTTCCCTGGGACAAAGTAAATTGTCATCTGTGTTTTATACCATTATTGTGCCCATGTTGAATCCCATGATCTACAGCCTGAGAAATAAAGATGTCAAAATTGCCCTTAAAAAATTAATTCAAAAGGTCAGTTTCTATTCAACCAAGAATGATTTTCATTAGCTATGGAGTAAAACTTCTTCACTTTGTCACAAGATATAGCCTACATACAGGACATAATAACACTAGATGTGAGACTATTGTTAGCACATTGTTGTTTAGAAAAAAATATACCAAAGTTAAAAGTGGATTACCACTTTCATACCCATGGAGAAATGTTTCTCTTTTGTATAACCAGAATTTATTCAAGATAGCATCCTACATTACCTGCTGAAAATTCCCTCAGCCTAATTTGTTTGGTTTACTTGCATATATTAACAAAGCTCTGTTTTGGCAAGTCAAACATATGTTTATTAATATGGATGTACATTAATTTCTGCAATATTTCTTTGTTGACTCAATGATTTTTTAAAAAGTCTTCTTGTTCAATTAGCAATTTATTGAAAAATACTATCAAATATCTCATAAGTGAAGTCATTATAATAAAATAAGTTATGAAATAGAAATATTGTGTAACTCTGACTATTGAAAATTATATAACATTATATTAGTGCATATATCAACAGAGGGCAGGCTCTATCATCATCCCACCCACAAGGTGTTTCCAATATCTTAACCCAAAAGGCAATTGTAAACAGGAAGGAAGGTACAATGCGTTTCATGGTTATCTCTGCAATATTCTTCACACAGCTGTTTGACTCCTCCTCATTATCCTATAATTCTATAGTCATATTTCTTCTTCATGTATAGTTATGTTTTGTTTTTTGTCTTACCTCTCTCAGTTTCAGACTCAGAAGTTATAGTCCTTCATTGTTGCATCCATTTGCATCACTTATTCCCATGGGAGAAAAATAAAATTGACATTTTTTTCTGAATAATGATAAGCCTCACTCATGAACTCATGAGCAATTTTGAATGAAAAATAGGGGTCAGACAAGGATACCTGAAACTGCTGAAAGTTCTTGTTCCAGAAACTCTAGGTAAGAGTTAGGGTTAGTGAAAATAACGAACGGAAAAGAAAAGCACACATATCTATCATCATGCATAAAATTCAAGTTCAAATGTGTCAAAGACATAAACATAAAACCAGCCATACTGAGCCTCATAGAAGGGAAAGTGGGAAGTACAGGTGAATGAATTTGCACAGGAGACCACTTCCTAAATATAACCACAGCAGCATAGACACTGAGAAAAATAATTAATCAATGATTAATCAATGGGACTTCCTGAATCTGAAAACCTTCTGTAAAGAAAAGGACATGGTCAACAAGACAAAACAGCGCCTAGAGAATAGGAAATATCTTCACTAGCCCCACATCAGACAGAAGTCTAATCTCCAAAATATACAAAGAACTCGAGAAATTGGTTATCAAAAGAACAAATAATCCAATAAAAATTGGAGTACAGCTCTAAACAGAAAACTCTCAACAGAGGAATCTAAACAGGCTGAAAGACACATAAGGAAATATTCAACATCCTTAGTCATCAGAGAAATGCAAATCAAAACAGCTCTGTGATTCCATCCTACACCCATAGGCATGGCCAAGATTAAAAACACTGGTAGCAACTTATGCTGCATTGTTGAACACACCATTGTTGGTGAAAATGCAAGCTGGTATTGCCCCTTTGGATGTCAATATGGTGATTTCACAGAAAACTAGGAAATAACCTTCCACAGGACCCAGTTATACCACTTTCGGCTATATATTCAAAATATGTTCAATTGTGTCACAAGGGCATGTGCTCAACTATTTTTATAGCAGCATTGCTTGTTATAGCCTAGACCAGGAAACAACTAAATGCTCTTCAACTAAAGAATGGATAAGGAAAATATGGTACATTTACACAATGGAGTACTACACAACAGAAAAAACAATGATATCTTGAATTTTGCAAGAAAATGGATTGAGCTAAGAAATATTTTGAGTGAGGTAACCCAGACCCAGAAAGAAAATTATCACATATATTCACTCATAAGAGTTTTTTATTCATAAAGCAAAAAAAAAAACAGCCCACAAATCACAATCCCAGAGAACCTAGATAACAATGAGGACCCTAAGAGAGACATACATAGATCTAAAGTAAATTAGAAGTAGAAAAAGACAAGACCTTCTGAGTAAATAGGTAGCATGGGGACCGTGGGAGAGTGCTGAAGGGGAGTGGAGAGGCAGGAGTGGAGTAGAAAAAAATTTAGAGCTCAATTAAAATCAATTTAAAAAAAGAAGTGCTTAGCATTTTAAGAAGCCCGACTGGTCAAAAAAGGATTACAGGTACGCAATAAGGACAGATTCAGACATAAAATACCTCTAAATGAACACAGTGTGTTTAAAAATGTATAGAGACATGGGAGAGAAAAGAAAAAGAGTATAGACAGTTATAAAAAGAATAAATGTTTTTTTTAGAAAAATAAAATGAAGTCTTTAAAGAGGCAGAGTAAACTTGTAGGAAAAATAATAGGAATGAAGAAAAATAAGCCATGAAAAGTTGGAATATATACAAATAATCTAGATTATATATATCACTGTGTTTTCTTTAAAATTTTTGACTGTAAGAGAGCTAAGTATGAAGAGACATGTAATTGTATGGGCTGCTAAGCTAAAGCAACATATATGGTTTAAGGGTTTATTGAATTGAAATTTGCGTCTAAGGATTTGTTGCATTGAAAAAGAGTTTCTGCTTTTGTTTCCACAAAAGATGAGAATGTGTGAAATCCCTCCAGACTAATACAGTTTGATGGAACATGACCATCCAAAAGGTCTCTGTGAATGCCCCCCAAAATCACTTTGCCCCCCAAAAATAGGAAGCAGTTTGTAGAAATCTATGCCCAAATTTCCCAAATATAGTTTATAAATGTTTTTTTTACATTTAAAGAAGGATATTCTATAGAGATTTGCATTGGTATGAATCTTGATCTAATGATACAAATTTAAGGCCAATTTTGCTTTGTATATATTTCTGCTCTTAATTAAGGTATTGTTTTGTACAGCTCATTTTAAAATGTAATGTATAACTAAGAAATATAAGTTAATAGTCATTTATAATAGTCAAGTTTGTAGTCATGTTAGTTAAGCTTTCTAGATATATAGAGATATATTTAGTTAGATAGGTATTCTTCAAATATTTTAGAGACCTTCAGAATATGGCATTTTAAATGTTTAAGAACTTAGGACTTTTCATGATAATGAGAAACATCTGTTCTTGGTAGCACCAATATACTTCAAGAGGATGATGGGCATTGAAGAGACTCATTATGGAGTTGGTTGGTCATTTGATCAAAAAAACTTCTCTAGCCTGTACTGCTTGAAGGTATGCTCTATAAACTGGAAATGCAGAACCCACAGAAAAATGTCTACTGAACTTGTCTATAGGTGAGATGTTACTTTGGAGTTCCTGCTTTATGAAAGAATCTGCCAGATATTCTGCAAGACACAGGAGAAAGTGACTGCCAAGCTGCCTTTATAGCTATAGCAATATTTGAAATGTCATGCTTTGTGGAAAAGTCTGATGGATATTATGTACCTGTAGGCTGAAGATGGATGTTCCAATGATACAGAAGAACTTTCAGTGATTGTCCAGTCAGTGAGATGTCTCTGTCAATTCTAGAGTTTTGGAAGTTGCTTAAAAAGCACTTCTGTTTACTTAGGTAATATATCCTTCTGGAGTCTTTGATTGAGCTGAAGAATAGATATAGTTTTCCTTAGTTATGATAAAAGATAAAGTAGATTCAGATATTATAATTGTAAATCTTGCTTGATACCTGTTTTGTTATATTTTTACTATATATTATATATTTAATATGCATACTATATATATAAATTATATTTTTGTTATAATTTTACTATGTTAAAGGTAAAACATTAAGTTTATTTAAACAGAAAATGGGAAATTGTATGGGAAGTCCTTCTGTATATGTGTTGCTTTTATTGTTTGATGAGTAAAGTATTTGCCTTGGCCTCTAAGTGCACACATAAAGAAAATGGAGACAGCTCACATAAGTGACTTAAAAGCACACCTGAAAGCTTTAGAATAAAAAGGAGATTCAGCTAGAAGGAATGGAAGACTGGAAATAATCAAATTGATGGCTGAAATCAGCATATTAAAAACAAAGAAAACAATACAAAGAATCAATGAAACAAAGTGCTGGTTCTTTGAGAAAATCAATAAGATAGACAATCCCTTTCCCAGACTAATAAAAGGGCAGAGAGAGATCCAAATTAACAAATTCAGAAATGAAAAAAAAATTGACATGACAGTAGACACTGAGAAAATTTAGAGAATCATTAGGCCTTACTAAAAAAACATATACACCAGAAAATTAGAAAACATAAAAGAAATGAACAATTTTCTAGATAGATACCAAATACCAAAATTAAATCAAGACCAGGTGAGCAATTTAAATAGACATATCAGCTGTAAGGTAATAGAAGCTGTCATCAATAGCCCCCCACCAATAAAAGCCACAGGCCAGATGCTTTTAGTGCAGAATTATACCAGAATTTCAAAAGAAAATACCTATGCTTTTCTAACTGTTCCACATAATAGAAACATAACAAATAGTGCCAAACTCTTTTTATGAGGCTACAGTTACCCTGATACCAAAACCACACAAAGACTCAAACAAGAAAAAGAATAACAGACCGATCTCACTCGTGAAAATAGATGCAAAAATAAAATATCTGGCAAATCCAATCCAAGAAGACATCAGAAAAGTGATCCACCATGAAAAAGTTGGCTTCATTCAAAAGATGAGAAACTGGTTCAAAATATAAATATCTATAAATGCAATCTATCATATAAAAAAACTGAAAGAAAAAAACTCATATGATCAAAGCAGTTGCCCATTGAAAACCTGAAGAAGTGTCAATGGTGTGGTGTGCACATTTTAATTTTCCAAAATCTGTAAAGTAGAACACATTCATCTGCCAAATTTCACTCCTTTGAGAACCCTTTGAATTACTCCCTATAGGTAACAGTGTTTGGTTATTAAAGGAGCAAGTAGAACATCTCTTTATAATGTACTTACTTTGCTGCCATGTAATAGATAACTCTTTCTTTAAATTTTT